GGTAACTATCCTTAGTTATGAGGTGCCATATTGAGGATAAAAAAGTGCCAAAATGTGCCACATAGAAAAACAAAAGTGCCAAAAAAGGTGTCATTCCATTTAATCATTCATATTTAGCAATAAAATAAAGCTACATTTTCCAAACAAAAGTGCAATCATAAAATAAGATAACCCAGTTGAATAGCCTTTATAAATTTGAAAATTTTAGTTGAGAAAAAGAAGTGCACGCAAAGGATTTCACAAAAATGTATTGAAATGTTATTTTTTTACAATAGTGCCATTAGTGAAAAATTAAGTGCCATTTGAAGTAAAATAGGGACAAATGGCACGGTTTGAGCCAAGTTGGCATCCCTGCTTCTAATAACTTACAAATATAAAAATGTGAAATATCGAGGGCTTGAATTCATTAATACCCTATATCTGCAATTTGCACAAAAACTAATTTGTGATTTTAGAAACCATCTGGGACTTATTACCTGTCGTTATATAAGGTAGCATTAATATCACTGATGGCAGTTAAAGCTTAGGTGGATTTTTATATCAGAATCTCATCTTTGTGAAAAGTGTGCAGATAGAGGGTATTTTATTGAATATAAGCCCCCGATGTTTAAAATATATAAAAATTTTATTTCAACGTATACAAAAAATAAATCTACCTGCGTTACAGCACGGCGGGAGACGGAGAAGGGGGGCCGCGGCGTAGCGTGACGTGGTGTGCGCGCCGGTGGCGCGGGGCACGCGGGGCGCGAGCGCGGGGCACGCGGGGCGCGAGCGCGGCGCGCGCGGTATGGCGCGCTGTCGCGGGCCGCCGCGGAGCTAAGCAAATTTAATGCTTGAAAGAGAAATAATGTCAATGGATTTTATTTCGTTTTTAAAAAGGTAATAATGTCAATTGACTTTATTTCGCACCAGGGTGGGAAATAAAGTCAATTGACCTTATTTCCGTTGATCTTATTACCTGTCACCTTATTTAAATGTGTATATATATTTTTCGTCGTTAACCCTAATTTCTATTTCACATATATACCTAGGTATATATCTCATGTATACATGTGTATATAGGCATTCACATGTACATATAGGTATATGTATATACCAGGTGTATTAAAGAAGGTGTGATTGAAAACTCAGGTAGGCTTTCTTTTAAGGTACTATTATGCCTAAAGCAATATAAGCAAGCGATTTAAAATTCATAAAAAAATTCTATTGGGCTTTGTAGTATGGTTCTTCTGAGAGCGATGTCAAATTCAATCACACCTTGGTGAATACAAAATTTTTCTGTGAAAAGTTCGTTTTGTTCTTATTATTAGCTTTCCTCTAAGCTTTTTCGTTTACATTTAATTTTTTAGGATTGTTTTTTTTTTTTAATTTTTTTATCTTTTTTTTCAAGAATTCTAATTCTAAAATTTCTTGTTTCTTCCCTTATTTCCTCTCTATAGTTTACAGCTTACTTTTTACGTTAAAAAAAATTGTAATTTTTTTGAATTAAGTTTCGGGCCCGAAGGACTCACCCTTGTTGCAGCAGGTCTTGGTGGGCACTGCTGTTGCTGTTGTTGTAGGCGGTTGATGTAACAGGCCAGTGATAGGGGCCCTGCTGTGGTTGTTGCTGCTGGTTTGACCCGGGTGCTTATCCCGGTTGCTGATGTTGTTGTTGTTGGTGGCTGCTGTCGTTGCCGTTGCTGTGGCAGCCGATGTGGTCTGGCTGGTTGTTGTTGTTGGTGGTTTCTGGTGCCGCTCCCTAGGTGGTCGCTGAGTTGCCGCTCCTTAGGCGGTCGCTGGCGCTCTGGCGCGCTGGTTACCCGGGTGCTTACCCCGGTTGCTGAGGTGCCGCTCCGTGGGCGGTTGTTGGGTGCCACCCTTTTAGGCGGTCGCTGGTGTTCAGCTCTTTGTGCGGTTATTGAGATGCCGCTCCTTGGGCGGTTGCTGGTTGGCCCGGGTGCTTACCCCGGTTGTGTTTGCCGCTTCCGCGGTCGCTGGTGCCGCTCCTTAGGCGGTTGCTGAGGTGCCGCTCTGACAGCCGCTGTGTTGCCGCTCCCTATGCGGTCGCTGAGGTACCGCTCCTTAGGCGGTTGCAGTGGGTGCCGCTCCTTGGGTGGTCGCTTTGTTGACTCGGGTGCTTACCCCGGTTGCTGATGGCCGCTCCTTAGGCGGTTGCTGGTGTTCCGCTCTTTGTGCGGTTATTGAGATGCCGCTCCTTGGGCGGTCGTTGGCGCTCTGGCGCGCTGGTTACCCGGGTGCTTACCCCGGTTGCTGGTTCTACCCTGGCGCTTACCCCGGTTGTTGATTCGCCGGTTTTGGACTTACCGGTGCTCTTGCCGGTGGTGCTGACTTACCGGTGTGGTTACGTTGCCAGTGCTGTTGTGTGACCGGTGCCGGTTCACCGACTCGCCGGTGTTTGTCTTGCCGGTACAAAAAAGGATTTTGCTAAGCTTTGGTACTCTCCTGGATGCTGTTTTCTGTTGGTTGATGGCTGCACCGTCGTCTCGCCCAAATCGACCAAGTTTGCCGGGCCCAATAAAAGGAAGAAGGCACGCTGCATCTTCCGCTGAATATACGAGCGCTTAGTTTTCGTTGTATCCCGAGTAGGTTGGCCCTTTGTATTACAAATTTGTCTCACTTTTCACTTTCACAGGTTATTAGCTACACCCTTTAGGCACGCACAGAAGTTGTAGTTTAAATTAAGTTTCACCTTTCTATTGAATTAATTTTTGTTAGTTATGGGTTTTTTTTCACTGGTGGTTTAGCACCGACACTTGTCACATTCAAAATTTTACGACTGTGGTGTTGTCAGCGGGTTTTTATCGCTTTGCAATGCGGGAAATTATTTAAAAATAACGGACTCTGCGGCAATTGGAACAGTTTCGTTATTTTTCCATTTGGAATTTGCCGCAGTGCAAAGGAGAATGTCAAAAATAAGAATGTTCGAGACTGTCCGGGGTTGCCATGCCCCAGCTATAAAAATCCGAACCGGTTGGAGAGCAGCCAGTCAACAGCTTTGCTTATTCACTGGCCGTCTTCACAGGATAAACCTTATTGTTGTTCAGCTATCTCTTTGGTTACTAGATATAAGTTATATTAGGACAAAATTTGTGCGGGCTTTTATATCTTGACATCAGCGTTTCGGGAGTATTTTTACCGCGCTTAACCGCCAAAAAAAAAATAGAATTTAGAAAATAGGCTATTTGACATCCAAGTACATAGCGATAAGCGTTTAAATGGAAAACATCTCACTTTCTGCTTTTATGGGCCGTGCCAATTGATAGAAAAGAGGTTTTTGACTGGTCAGAATCAAAATTTGACATTTATCGTCAGAATTTTACCTAGCTCATGGGGCTAGGTAAGGTTTGACAGCTTCTAAATGCGTGTACACCTAATATAGTGGGGCGGTAATAAAGAGGGGGAATCAAATTGGAAGCTGGTAAAACCCGCAGAAAACCTACGTTACTTGCAAATTATAAAATAGATGTAAATTTGGACAATTTCAGTAACACACGTATGTCAAAATATAGATAATGTTGCCGCCCGAAAGTTTTGTGTGCAAGGAAAACGTAGCTGTCAAACCAGTAAGTTACCGCAATAGATGCCAAGATATAAGCCCTGGTACATATGGAGCTCACATTCTAGCCTATGTGTCAAGTTATAAATTGCATGCTGTAATGACGGGCAGTTACAGACAACTGTCACAAACTATCACTAGCCTCCGCTGGAAAGTGTTTCTTAACAAACAAAAATAACCAAACGAACCTGCAGGAGCTAGTAACACCCAACGACAGCTGTCCGCAAGGAACACAGCTATCGCCAAAATGGCAGACCTTCCATGCAGTTTTGGTGTTGCCGTACGCTCTAGAAAAATTATTAGATGGTGACTA